TCGTTCTATATGAAAAACTTTGTTCTAATAGTTTCTCTATTGGAAAAAGTATGCATGCTTTCTCAACAAAGGGTTTTCCAAAAACACATGCTTAGTGCAGTTGGTGCGCACACCTGCAAATTCGATGAAACTTTTACAGAATGTTGTTCTCAGTCTAACATGTCTACTCAGTTAGCATAAATACTTCTGGATTAAGATACAGGTTTTCGACATTCTTTTGTCTCAGAAGTACTATAAGAGAAAAATAAGGATATATTTGGAATTAGCACGGAAAATTGTATCGAATAATATAATATTTGTTGATTTTTAAAATAGAAAAACTTTTGCAATAAAAATTTACTGTAAGGATCACCTCATGCATTTTATATCGAAACTGTTCTATTATGAATTTCACTTTGCTTCTGTCAATTTTTTGTTGACTACTGAAAATTAATACTTCCATTAAAAAAAAAGCCATGCTCAGACATTCTATAGAAATCGCTCACTGTATGATGACCAAAGGCTACATAAAAACTCGACCCGTACATGTACGGGTCACGTAACCAAACGGCTAAATCTTACATCACGAGTTGATTGATCAACTAATTGCTCTTTACAACCAATAACGATTTTCATTTCGTCATTAACAAATGCATTCCAATGACTGTAAGAAAATGCTGTACATGATGATGTAACCGCCATTTGATTATACACCCACCATTCTAATTTATGATTCTATAAAATCAAAACGAAAAGTTTTATTTATGTTAAAAGAAAAAATGAATCAATACTTACTTTATTAATAACGCTCACATATGAATCTGAATCAGGTTCAGGAAAGACATTAAGACCGAGTAATCTTAATTTCTATTTACAAGATAAAAAGAATAATTTATGATAGATTTCATTCCGGAAATATGAATTTACTTCAATTAATTCTTTTAATGGCATAAATTTATTAGCAATAGGTTCAATAATAGCAGCAAATGTTGGATTCTTTTTATATATATCATCACCATCATCAACTCCTGGTCGACTTGTTGAAAGTGATGATGTTGATGTTGGTTGAACGACACTTGGTTTAATGCCTTTCGCACCCAATAATGATGTTGGTTTTTCTTCAACAGGTGCTTCTGGTTTTCGTGGTGGAAGAAATACAGCTACTTTATCGTACTAAAACAAAAAAACATATTGTTTTCTGGAATAAATCTTTTGTTTTTCCTATTGATTTTATTGAAGAGACCTCACTTTCTTGGATTTTTGAAGAACGACTTATCAGAAATATTTGAAACTTTCGAAGTAGATAGATCTCAATGAATACAGCAAAATTTATCGTAGACTCCAAATTTCTAAATATCTGGATCGCAAAGGCTAAAAATTGCCTCCACTTTCTCAGCCGCAATAAGTTCAATAGGACTAGAATATTGTTTTTTACAGATACTAGACAGTGCTAGGGATGCCTACTTTTTTTAAATCTCCTTCTATTCGAATAAAACGATCAAAATACTGAACGTATGTTCAAAAAAAACATGTTACTTTTTTTTGTAAAATCTGTTAAAAATCAACGATGCAATATATTAAAAAACAAAAAAAATTAGACATCTCACACAATATTCTATACCTACAACAAAAAATTTCAGCTCGATCGAACGTATTATGTCATAGAAACGGAGGACGACTCTGCATTTTTTCCGTATAAAAATTGATTTCGAGAAGAACGAAAAACAAATTATTCTGCATGTATCAGAACTTTTTTCTCTTTAATCAAAGTAATCGGAAACGGGCGAGTACTAGAGATCCATGATAAATGCTCTCGACACGTTTGGAATAAGAAATAATCTTAATAAAAATATTAACTAATAATGAAGAGTCCTCACTTATATGATATTTGACAGAGAATACTTTGAAGCTATATTAAAAATCAAAAAAAAATTGATTGTAACATGTAGAGAGGGGGCGTAGATCTCTTTAATCGATCAAATAGGAAAAAAAATTGCATGACAAGAACAATCCTCATTCATTTTTCTATGATTTTGAAAAGCTACTAAATAATTCTATTGTCACGAGACATAGTTCGAATAGAATAAAAGCTTGTTCTATATAAATAAATATAGTAGAAAGTTCGTTTTTTTTTTTGTTAGTTTTTATTGAATATTTTATGAAAGAGGAGATAATCAAAGCTCATTTCCGACCATCTTGTTTTTTCCTTCTGTAATGATTGTTGAAAAATTCTCTAGAGATTTTACATCATGTTAAATTAAAAAAAATAAGTACATATGACAATCTCAAGACGACGATCACTTTGAATATGGAAAGTAAATGAAAGATGTGTGAAACCCTCAAAAGCTTTTTATATTTGGTTGTCCTTTTTTTTTTCTTCTTCTTTTTTTTCATGATCACGCCTATGATAATGGCGTTAGACATGCGTTAACCCTATTAGCGATGACGGCTATGTTGATGATGTGTTATCGTTCATTGTCATCACAATTTCCTGGGGCATCCTTCATTTCTTACGTCGATTTTTCTTTTTATATTTATACAACCTTCATGGCGCTGATGATGTTCGATGAGTTGTCTATTACAGATGGATATAGTACAATAGTATGGTGATATATTCATATTGAAGAAAGAAAAAAAAAGATTTTGCATGATGATATCGAATGTCATAGCGTGGCCCATTTTCACATCTGTAAACCATCAAGTTCGACAGTAATACAGACAAATAGTCAATAGACAGAGGTGGTAAACCATCTAAGATACTATTTCTTCAAAACATACAGTTTTACTAAGAAATGACAAGGTAATATCTAGTTTCTATAGTAGAATTCTTGACTATCGATCTATCTACATATTGTAATTCTCTTTTATTGGTATAAACATTCATGCATAGTTTGTGTATATGCACGCTATAGAAGAAAAGATTAAGCCTGGGGGCTTACTGATTGACTATGTATTTCTTCCGCTGCTATCATAGTTATTACTCTATAGTATTAGAATGATGAGACATACATTCAAAAAAAAATAGGATTAACCAATAAATATATTACGACGTCGTGCTTCTATTTTTCTTTTCCATTGAAAAGTAAGCTGAGATGCATCATTTATATGTGTTAGCATAAGCGCGACAAGAAAAGATCAAGTTGATGATTCGCTAACTTATTATAAATGGACTGTAGACAACGTTGACTTTATTTTTGTTTTTTGTCTTAAATCAAAATAATTGAATTAATTATAAATTCTTTTACATTTATCTATTTCTTTAACATTAATCATATTTATTTTGTTTCTTTTCTTTTTTTTTTTTAATTCTTGCATTATAGGCTCGGCAACATTTGTTTCTCTTTTTCTGTATTGTCAATTAATAATACTAAACATCCCAAAAACAAAAAAGAAAACAGAAATTCTTTCTTCTTTTTATACGTAATAGGACAAGAATCGTAGCTTGTATCCCTATTCTTCCCACGTTGACAACATGTCCTTAGTTTAGAAACAACAGTAGGAAGTAAGCAGAAAGATGTCGATAGGAAATTTCGCATAGGGTAAAAGAAGCCAAATATGATATTAGATTTTTCTCTCATAGATCATAGGTTGGAAAACGATGAAAAAAACAAAAAATCTTTATTCTATAGTTCATTGTTTTATAGTTAATAATGAACCATTATATTTCATTTATTTTCTATTCTATTAAATATGCATACTTTCTTGGTTTCATTATATTTATATGTCTATATGCATGGGAAAATCACTTGTCATTCTATTGCTATCACTGCTGTTTCTATCTTTTGTTCTTCATTCTTCATATACTCATTCTTTGCATTCGGCTTTTTTTTCTTCTTTCCAATATAATGGATTTCTTGTCACTTGTCTCTATCTGTCTGCTTGGGTGTTCTCTCATCAAATTGACATATAAGCAGCTGACGTATGCATTAAGTTAGCTCAAAAATGCAGAATTTTTTTCATTTGTTTTTCGTGACAGCTATATTTAACGTTATTCTTTGACAATCGTTGAATGATTGCATAAATAAAATAGGTAACTGATTTCACGCAACAGTCATTTTTTTTTCTCTTTTATACAGAATAATGATTATTTTTTTGCTACTATATATTTCAAATCTGAATACATGTAAAAAAAAAAAAAAAAGAAAAGAAAAAACAAGAATTCTTAACAACATTGTTGAGTACTGCATTATATTATATCGAAGTGAATAGGAGACTAAAAAGAAAAGAATCCACGGCATGTATCTATAGATCCTGCTGTGCGATGTTATTTTTTACCAGTCATCCTTGTTATTCTCTTACTATTTACACTTTATACACTCATTTTTCTCTTGAGTTCTCTTCAATAGAGGTCGATTGCATCTCATTTTCAAGATAAGAGTCGACATACATAGAGTTTCTTTTTTTTTTTCTATGAACCATTTTTATAGGATTTAATACCATTGTTGGCATATCGAGTGTATAGAGGAAATGACATCACCGGGATGTATTATTGTTGCACACACACATACATATATATATATATATATACGCGCACATTCACGCAACTCTATTCATTCATTGGCACGAGTAGGGAAACATAAAGATTTTTTAGTCGTCCAAGAAGAGATAGAGAAATATAGAGAAAGTTTTATGTTTACTAAGAATGCGCAAGTCCTCACGGGAAAAAAAGACGAAGAAAAAGAAAAAGAGAAAAACGAAGCTGTAGTTCTATTGTCGTTGATGATAAAAAAAATGGCGAGAATAACACACACATACACACCCTATACATCGACCAGAAGATAGATAGGAAAAAGATTTACAAAAGAACAAACAAGCAGAATCTTTTTCTAGTTTGTTTTTCCTTTTTATTTTTTTTTATTCAACCATTTGTTCTAGTAGTCAAGAGGTCAATATATTATTAAATTTCTTGTATAAATATCAATTTTCTAGATATATAGTTACAACTAAATAAAAAAAGAAACCAGAACAAATTACAAGAAAGAAATTATACAAAATGATCTAGCAATTTAATTATTCATCTAATGGACGTACTCGAATTACCTCGACCTGTCATTAATTTTCTTCGAACAATGGCTAAAGAAAGTTGTCGTTATGCCCTTTCATGGGACATATTTGGTGGACCTGATTCAGTAACACTTACATTAACATGGAAACTTATTGATGATGAAGCACAATCATCAATGATTAATGAAACAATGTCATCACCACCATCATCATCATCATCATTAAAACAACAACAACAACAACAACAACAACAACAACAACAACAACCACAGCAACAAAATTATGATAACCCTCGTACACGTTCAACAATTAAAGATAGCAATAGACCATCATCACCACGTCGTTCACGTCGTGATGAAAATACTTCTATCAATGAAAATATTTCCGTACCAGCTATATTTCGTTCATCTCGAGGCAAAAGTCTTGAAGGTAGTTCTTTACAATCAAATAAACAAATTATTTCTCATCATCAACATAATGTAAAAGAACAACAACAACCACAACAACATGTATTAAGTTTAGAACGACAAACAATAACGAATCATCATCATCAACATCAACATCAACATCGAACAAAAAAAGAACAACAAAAACAAATACCAATACAGTCAGATCAAATCTATGGAAATCTTTATGATACACGTTCAACACCTGTTGTTAAATGTGCCACTATATCGTCTTTATCGAGTTCTTCTCCATCTCCTCAACCAAATAATATCAATAATAATAATAATCCACCATTATCTTTTGCTCATACTCATCATCAACGTGCTAAACAACAACCTGTAACTCCACCAACTACTCGAAAACCTGTACGTTCATTAATGAATACATCTCGTACACCAACAATACCGATTACTAGTAATATATCATCAAATTATACAAAATCGAGAGGAAATAATAATATAACTACTCATAATGATAATAATAATAATGATGATGATGATGATACACTTGATCCATGGGTAAAACGTTTTGAATGTTCATTTGAAGATAATGATGATGAAACTACAGAACAATCAGAAGAAAAAGAACCCACGTCTACAACTACAGATAATATTGATGAATTGGGAAATACATCTGGCAAAGTTAAATTTAAGACAAAACCTGATTATTTCTAAACACGAAAAAAAAAGAAAAAGAAATCCTAATCTACTTATTCTATTTTCTTGTTTTTCTCAGGAGAAGAATGGAAAAGCTGAATATAAAATATAACTGTCTACGATCGAATCTTTCTCTCTCTCTATATATATATACAAAAAAAAAAATAATAATAAATTTATACATTGATCACCGATTTTTTTTTTTGCTATCATTTTGATATTTTTCTTTCTTATTTATTAGATTAAAAAAAAACAATTTTGTCAAATAATGAACTAAGTCGATTCCATATTTTTCTAGTTAGTATTATGATCATTTGTCAATATGTCATCATTATTCCGAACAAAGATCATTTCTGTCATATTAGATTATACTATAATGCATTTGTACGTTGCGTCAATCGGTGATTTTCATTGTTTTTTTTTCTTGACTACATTCTGTATATATATATATGTGTGTGTATGTGTGTCGTTTGCACATCATACTATTTCCGCTTGCCTTTTGACTCGACTATCAACCCAATTAACACACATCCCATAGTTTGACTCCTTATGTTGTTCTTTTTTCTTTTTCCTGTTTTTACAGATACAGGAAAGAAAAAGAAGACAAGCAGCTGGTGGGACCTATAAGCATAAAATTGAGACCATACTATGATGATAGACACCAGCTGGTGTTAATGCGAATTAGATAAATGAACAGTATATGATAAAGAGAATCTTTTAGAACTACATTACTACATATAACACCAAAAAAAAAGAAAGTAACTTTTTCCTATGTTATTATAACATTTTTTTTTTATTGAATAATTCTTTTTTTGTCGTTAGCTAATAATAATAAAAATAATAATAATAATAGAATCGAAGGATATATATAATCATTACATTTACATAATAACAGGGTTTAGTTAATCAAAGATTAGTTAGTGTATATATTTTATATCGATAGGTTTAATTCGATAAAAAAAAAGAAAAGAAATCTTTATACCTCAATCTAATTGAACTAAATTAATACATATGTTTTATTTATTTGTATATTTAAAAATATTTATAATAAATTAGTGGCATATGATTTATAAAAGATCAATTTATATTGATACAATGAAATCCACCATTGTATTCTTAACATGTCGTCCAGTTCCTTAAGATAAGCATTATTCATCATGATCGAAACTCTTGCCGTCAATGTAGTCCCTTAAGAATTACTCAAAAAAAAACAAAACAAAACAAAACAACAAAAAAAAAACAGATAATTCGTTCTTATTCAATTATCGTTCATATCCATTGATAGGCATACTCTTGAGACAAGATCTATTCCTTGTCGTACATCAAGTTATTGAATAAGTTTCGTTATTAGAACTTCAATATGACTAATATTCTATTTCTACTACAAATAATAATTAGAATAATAGAATAGTTCGATTTGAAATTCTTGGAATTAATTTATTATAATATCTAACAATAGTTAATAAAAATCAGAAGATCATAAAAATCAATTTTATGATGTTTCAAAAATCAATTTTGCACAAAAACAATAAATAATAGTTTAAATAAAACTAAAACAATATAAATACGGAAAGAACTCAATTCAGGTATAACACTTGTTAAATAAATAAAGTAGAAATGAAAACAATAAAAATCATCGGAACTTATCATTTCCTTTATTCATTTTTGTACTACATCAATCTAGGGATTTCATATTTGTTTTTTTACGGAAAATATATGTAAATATTTGAAGTAATGACAAGATTATAGACTTTTTAATTAAATATTCTAGTACACAGAAACAAAGGATATTTATCATCAATATAAATCATTCACAAGGCTTGTATTCATCTTCATTGTATAGAGATATATGTAAGATAAATGTCTATTTCAAATATGTGGCAAAAGAAATATCGACACTCCATAATAGATTATATTACCATGAAATTGCGATACTTTTTTTTCTTTATGTATGATACAGTTATATTCGTTTACAGAGACTGAAAAAAAGCTTTTCATCATGAATCTATCTTATTATTAAAAAAAAAATATACTAATCAATATAAATTCTTGAATAACACTAATTTTTGTTAGTTACTACAGAAATATCCAATGTGTCCAGTTCTATTTTGACTCATTCAAAGGAATGTATTGAAATTAGGAAAAAAAAATACTCAAATGATTCGAACCTATCGCTAATTTATCATTAAGTAGGACTGTTATATTGAATTTTTCGCCTGTCCATCGATAACTACAAAAAAAATTTTTCCAAAGATAAATCTAAAGATCATTAGAATATCATAAAAGTTTCAGCTAAAAACGAATATGAGCGATCAATCTTTAGAAAAGTATATTTGTTTTAGCTGAAACTTTTACGACATTCTAAAGATTATTAAACCTTTCTTTAGACAAAACTTTTGGTTGATATTTCTTAACTTGATTTTCGAATTCTTTTAGACTTTTTTTTTTCTAATTTCAATATACTCGATTGAATGAAACATGAAAAAGGCAATGCACTACTGAACATATCTCGATCGTCTTCTAAAATAACTTTTACGTAATACTTCTCATGCATTCTAAATATCAAGTAACCATTATGGAAACAAAATCAACGAATATAATGTTACTTAGATCATTCCTCAAAAAAGATTGTGCTATAGAACGAAAATAAACAAGGGAGTTGACTATTTAAAGTACAAATATAAAATCTGATCCCGGAATAGGTTGATAAAAATAATGAGTATGAATAGTTAATAACAATTAGATAAAAAACGATACTATTACACATTGGATGAGTTTACTGAAAATCGAGACGAATGTTTAGTTTAATAGTTTTGCCTCAAAAAAAAAACATTCCATATATCATCACTGCAAATTGTTGAATCCAACTTGATCACTGAGCAACTAACAGTCGGATCATTTACTAATGAACAATCTCAATTGAACAAAGCTAAACTTCAATTTTTTGTAAAATCTTAAATATATTCTACTTACAAAACGTATCCATCTCAATAGATCATTTAAAAAGACTTGACATATAACTATTCAGATCATTTACTTTATATTCTAAACTTTCATCAAAATCATTGATCAATTATCTCATTCTTTCACTATTCTGTATTCTATCATCATACCCCTAATCATCTCTACTAACATTTTTCTATCAATCAATCAATCAATCGTTAGTTGACATTTTTTCGTTTTACTAACATAAATAGTCAACAGGTAGATAAGATAAAACAAATTTTCTCTACATAATATTAATTACTATTTTGTAAATTTATTGATTATTACATATACTAAGAATAGAAACATTCATTTACATTATCAAGTAGTTAGTTATATAGTAGTAGGATACTCGAGACAGTTAAATAAAAAGTGTCTATGAGAGAATTTTTATTTTCTTTTTCTTTTTTTTCTTTGATCGATTTTCTCATCATTCCTATATATAATGAGAACTCTCATGAACCATATATGAGACAGGAACATATATCATCATTATTATCATTGAAAACAATAATAATATTCAAGTAAGAGCAATTCATGAATAGAAAAATACATCATCAAAAATATCGTTTACTTTCTTTCTGTCTCTCATTGACACAATGTTCTTCTTTTTTTTTTTAATTTTGTCTTGTTGTTCGTCAATTGAAAGATAATAGTATCAGAACAAGACTGTTGTCTATACATACACCTGTTCAACATAATCATATACATAAATATTATAATAAAAAAGATACATAAATAGATATTTAAATGCCGAAAGCATTTTGAAGTAAGTGAATGATATTTATCATCAAAAATATCAAATATAAATTTCAACGTTTTTATCTGTTCTATCAAATAAAAATAAGATTTCATGAATTTAATAAAGAACGAAAAAAAAAACAAGAAGCTTTTGTTGTTTTATCTTCTATAGTTTATTATCATAATCTCAATGAAAAGTACTTCCTTCCGGACATCTGCTAAGTGTATATATTTAATAAAGTATAACAAAAATATAGTTACTATCAAAATATCTCACCAATTGTATAGTTGATATGAAATCAGATCTTTTTTTTATTTCATATTCGAAACAAAAGATACTTGTCTATAGTCTATAGGATAGATAGAAAAGTTGTTGTTTTTCTTCTTAAATTACTAGTACTTGTAAAATCATTCAGTAGCTTATTTATATACGTGTATCATGACACCTACTCAACTGTCATCACCTGTCGGCTTGTCTTGTACCTAGCTTTTACTATTCGTTTCTCTCTCTCTCTCTCCCTCTTTAGTTTTTACCCAAATGTCATTGATTTCTTCTCTTCTTTTCTTTACTCTCTCTACCACCTCTTTCTTTTTGTTGATTGTAGTTTTACTGCTATGTGACCATTGCCGTCGGCGAACCGAATATTCCTTCTTGTTCTTCTTTTTCTTCATCGTCGTTGGTTTGTTCTTTAATAATAATCATATACATCTTATATTAACGCGATTATCCATGATAGATGGTTTGACCGGTGGTCTTTTATATATTTATATATACATACATTGATAACGTTGATCATCTTGTTATTCTCATTTTTCTATACAATCATTATCATTAGAATTTCTACCGCTTTATATTACGTTCTTTAATTATTCTATTTAATTTACAATTGACATTGAAAATATCAAGTAAAAAACAAAAGAGCAATAACAAGACAAGCAGAATCGAAGATAACAAATGATTGAACATTGATCTCTTTTTATTCTTCTGTGATTTACATTTATATCTTTTTTCTTTTTTCTATACAATCACTACCAAGAGAGAAGAGATATAGAACATCATAAGGTGCCGACTTCTAACAAAACCAATGATTAATTCAACTAACAATAACAATTTACATCATCATGATCATCGTAATCAATGGATAAAGAAAACACCAAAACGACAACAATTACCATCGCCATCATTCATATTAAAAAATCAACATATTCCAACATTATTTATTACTGATTCTCGATCTAATGAGCCAAAAGTCTATACATGTGAACAACAACAACAACAACAAGGACAAATGTCTGTGAAAAATCCGTTAGCATGGACTAAAAAATGGACTAAATGGTTTTCATCATGTGGTTCAGAACGAATATCTCATACTGATTCGAATTCAAAAATACAATCCATTGGAGTGAGTTGATATTTTATTTGTTTTTTCAGCATTTACAACCTGCTGTGTAATCGATCGATATACAAGACATTCATTTCTTTCAAATAACAATTGATTAATGATTTAGAAAAACTTCTTCTTTTTTTTTTATTTTGTTTTTTTAACAGTTCTCATGCCTATAATCTATTGTCTGAAAAGACGTGATGGAGTGTCGATAAAAGAATAACAATATATCTAAGACGTTATTTGTATATGTGTAAAATGATCTTACAATGGTCTGCTTAATAGAAAGAAAAACAAAATCTGTTTTATAGGAACAAAGAAAAGATAAAATTCCATTCTTATAGTTTGACTATTATTGAATGACATAGATATTAATTGTAAGAAATGAACTGTATTATATTGTCTTCGTATATTGATTAGTCTTTTAACACCATTTAACATTGATGTGATGACAAGAAAGGATAAGAAAGGAAAAAGAAAAATATGGAAATTTACGAAAATAAATGTCATATTCACATTCTTTATATATATATATATATACACAAGTGATAGACAGTAGATGGTCAGTGATATGAATCGTATTCATTTTAGCTTAGATCGAAGGATAAAAATTGATCAAATTATATTAAAATGAGGTTATTATTCATGTGAAAATAATAAAGAAGTTAAATCAAGGATTAACGGTCATTTATTTAACGCATCGGTTTTTTTTTTGAGCTATCGATGAATGATGATGATGATGATAATAGTTCTAATAAATATATATGAACTATTTTCTTGTATTATAATGAAAAATATTATATTTTATTTTAAAATAATAAATTCTTTTTGTAGTATATTTTATAAAGACTTGTTTCTTTTTCTTTATTGAATTTGTTAACATAGACTTAGTTTTGTGGCTTCCTTAATTGAAAAAGCAATAGGTAGAAAGAATGTTCGAACATACGTCACACTGAGTGCATTGGTAGAGAACTAAAAGTTATATTAAACTACTGTTTGCATATATATATTATTTTTTTCAATATATTATTTGATTATGAATATCTTAATGGAGAAAAAAACCATAGATATTAGTTTTCTAGTTGTTATTATCATCAATTTAGAGATAGATGGATATTATGAGATATCCAAAACGTGCGAAAAAAAAAAAATTTTTTTCAGAATCGAACGTTATAAGTCAATTGGGATTAAACAATGAAAACAATGTGTTCCTCTTGAGAATTAGATAATGCATCGTCTGTTTATCAAAAAAAAGAAAACATACTAATGTTTGTTTAATAGTAATGGGAACTGTGAAAATTTTGTAAGGCATTTGAAATATTCTATTATTATACTACTATTATTAAGAAAAGTAAGAATGTGAAACTATATCATATGTTTGACTATGTATAATATGATTACTCGAGACTTTTCTTCAATTCATTTTCGCATGTTTGTCTTGTAGAATTTTTTTTTAAGTAAGAAAAAAAAAAACTTTGGAAATCCCTTGCCGATCGTATATTCAATGGGATAGATGAAAAGAAATTAATGACTCGATGACAAGAGAACATCATGGAATACAGTAATAAATGATAATAACTATTGAAGACTGATAAGAATTATGTCAACATTCAAATTTCGTATCGTTAGATTTATTTTTATAAATTCTTGCAGATTTATTACAAAAAAAAATCTTGTGTACGTCTTTAACGAATAATTTTGATCTATTTCATAATTCAATTTGTTTCATCCTTGAAAAAAATTGATAAGAATAAAAATCTTAGTTTTTAAAATTCTATGTTGTTACTTATTTTTCAACGTAACACTTATCTTACTGTCTATAATTTAATCTTTAAAAAAAAGAAAATGAAAGGATGATTAAAAAAGAAAGCCTTTTGGTTATTATTCTAGAATTACGCATGTTGAACCTGACCTTTCATCATATACATTTGTTTTTCATCAGAGTTTCTATTTACTCATTACGTCAGTGCATCAAAAAACCATTAGCTTTTGTTTTCTTTTATAGATATTGAAAATAAAAACTAAAAATAACAATCATTCTAATCTAGTTATTTGTTAATATAAACGTCTATTATTTTTTTTTATATGCTATAAATTGATCATTTTGACGTGTAGATTAACACCTGAATGACATCCGCGTACGCATATCTCTATGCGAAAAAAAAAAAGAAAAATCGGTGAATATTTTGAGAATATAGATTTACGTGACAGATTCATTGAATACTATTAAAATGAAAATCATGATTGATTACTGATAAATATGAGCTTATACACGTGCATTAAGATACTCTTGATAAATATTCATATATCTTTTAAGAATCTTATATATATATATATATGTATGTGTATATATATACTTACATACAGTTCTTTTTTCGATTACATCATCAAGAAAAAGAAAACAATAATAAGAATTTACGATATTGTTATTACTCTTGCTCAAATTAAAATCTTATTAGAGATAGTTGTATATTGTCTTGTGTAATCAAATATATCTTCAAGATTCATCCGATAACTTATAGTATTATGCAGATTCAGTCGTATTTTATATAGTTGGGTCAAGTGTATACATATATATATATATATATATGGGCGACAGCTCGAATTCTTTCGTTTGTCATCTCATTTTAAACGTAGTCATACACAATTATCAAGTGTATGCATATATGCGTATGCATCTGTGACAGCAAGAACTTGCTACGCAAAAATCAGACAAATTAATTTATTAGAAAGTCATAGTATAAAATACATGCTTTCTTTTCCGAAAAAAAAAGACAAAAAGAAAAATTAATTTTTAATCAATTTTATTTTGTCCTATATTATATTATTATATTGATCGGAAATCATGCTTATTCAATCATTTTCTTTACCTACTGAAAGAATAATAAGAAAAAGGAAAGTTTCCTTCGTCTGCGCATGCCAATGTGTATGCAGGTGTTACTATATAAACGGTAGTGAACGGAGACGCAGTGCTATTTTTTTAAGGAATTTACTAATGTGTACGGCACGCTTCATTTTTTATGTCCTGGGAAACGCCATATATAGATATATATATTTATTAACTATTCTTCATTACGGAATAACGCTCGTTTTTTTTTCTCCTCGTTTGCTCGTTTCTTCTTCAGTTTGCCAGTTTAGGTGAATGTGTGAGAATGTGATGGCTCGTTAGGCGTTTTTTATATGAATGCGTGCGTGTGAAGCATGTTAAAAAAAGTGAAAAAAGAGAGAGGGAGAGAGAAAGAGAAGAAGAAAGAAACGCAAGAGAAGAAGACAAACAGGAAATCAGTCTTTTCTCTCCTGACTATGCCTAATAGTAGAATGATAATGAGTCGCTTCTGTTGGTATTCTTGTGGCCGATGTTTCATCTTTAACAGTTTTTGCCATCACACTTGTTATTATTGTTACTAATATGCTAAAAAAATAGTATTATTGAAACAACGATAGTCACGCTGCTAGCGTCTCTTTATCGTTTATTAATTCCGAATGAAACTGTTTCGTGTCAAAGTAAGTCTTATATATATATATAAATAAGAACATAGTTAGTCGCTAGAGACATACGCATATTTAATAAAAAAAGAGAAAAAAAAATTAGATTTGTAAAAGAATAACATAATAATGTGTGTCTTTTTTTCATTGTATTTTAAATTATAGAAACGTTCACGAGCCAAGTCTGAAAATGACATATCGAAACGTGGCAGCCTTGATCAGGAAGACAAAGTATGTATGAAATAAAATTTCTCATTTTACTTTTTTTTCTTTTTTTTTTTTTTTTTTCATTTTCATCTTAACCTTGAATCTATTTTTAATCATACTACTTGTAATATTAAAAAAACATACACACGAGGTTTTCAAGAGACAAGAAAGAAAAATTAATAGAAAGTAGAATCATAAGAAAAACATTATTTATCTAATTACTTCTTTCTTGGTATTTTTTTTTTCTTGCCTCGTTCGATCATTATATCATGTCATTTTTATTGTCGATTTAGTTTTGACTATCGATAGCATCGTTAACAGTAGAATACTTCTCTTAGTTGTAGGCAATAATTTACGAGAATGCATGTTGCTCATCTCTTTCTTTTTCTTCTTCATCATCTTAATGTCCTTATTTTGCTTAGTATGTGAACTATTTTTACTTTTCTCTTGCATATTTTTTTGCTTCCTATCAGTTCTATTCATATGGGCAACTAAACTATCGTTTATATGTCATATTTTTGTCTTAAAACACGATATTTTTTTTTCCCATCATAATCAATGCTTCCGATTTAGGTTGTTTATCAGAATTTATGCTTATCACGATTATATTAATCAGACGGGTTAGTTGTCTTCTTTGAATGGCAAAGACAAATGGATAAACATATATATACACGTATAGAATAGGTTTTACTTTGTTTACTATAGTTATTCAACATAGATATAGATATACCGTTATTCTGTTGCTTCTTACATGTAGATTTATGAGAGACATCTATTGAAAGAATGAAATGAAATTTCTTTTTTTTTTGTTTGACTGAATATTAAAAGTTGAATTGAAGTGCAATTGAAGGTCGCATATTTACAACATGAGAATAATCTCATGTTGGTTGACAGACAATTACTGATAATTGACTTGCCTTGACCATAGAAAGAAAACGAATGTATATATATATATATACTTAAAGAATCAGTGAGAAAAAAAAGAGAAAACGCAAATAATGGCGAGCATAAAAGTTGATTTTTCTTTGTTTCTTTTATTCACATTTTTTTTTCTTCTTTCATCTTTTATTATCATATCAGATTGAGGCATGTATGCACGTGCTATTTTTGCTTATCTAATTTTACAATATGAAGCATTGCTTGCATTTCTTTTTTTTTTTTATCGAATAGAAACCAAATAAGTAAGAAATCACTGGTCGATGGTGATTCTATTACATGTTGATATTGTTAAGAAATAGGAGAAGCAAAAAAAAAAAAGAAGAGAATCGAAAGCTGTTCTATGTTCTCTCTTGTGCGACAAAACAAACCGATCGAAATAAGACAGAAAGAACGACGGATGAAAACTGCCAAAGCGGTAATGGCTCCAAAAATACTATGTTGACAAGGAAAAAGAAAATCGTATGAAAAGAAAAAGAAGGAAGACACACGATGACGTTGCTATCGTTGTCGGCATATTTGTTCTTTTTTTCTTTTTATATATTGCTCTTTTTTTTTTTTTTTTTTTTTTTATTTTTTATTGCGGTTTTTTTTCTTCTTACAACAAGCTCGTTTGATTATTGTATAAGTAACCTTCGAATTAATATATGTTTTTCGATGACTGTAGGTAATAAATAAAATATGAGTAATAATATCATTCATTCCGGTACGTGTTTTGTTAACAAGCAAAAGACATTTGAAATAAGATTGTGTTAATTACATTGTCATTTTTTTTTTCTTGTTCTTATATCTTAGTTGTTGTTTTACCATTTCTTTTCATTTATTCTTCGTTCCCATCATGACTCGTCAAATAACCATATTAAAGAGCAGATACCACAATAAGTACTAGCACAACTAACATCAAAAGCAACGACCGCTCGATATATGCGTGTACTCATCATTGCGCGACGATGAATAGTAAATACGAAAATGCGCGTCTATATGTACTTTAAGCAACAAGCTTATTCCCTCCCTCTCGCTGTCTTCAATATTGCATGTGCAACAAGAGCGACACAGAGAGAGAGAGAGAGAGAGAGAGAGAGAAAAAGAAGAGAGTAAACCGAGAAGAATTTTTGACGCTACACCTTGGCGTCGTGTCGCGCGAGAAATGATTTAGATCAACTAAACCAACATCGACAGACGAGACGAGGAAAAGAGTAGAGTAGAGTAAGTATATATATATATATATATATATATATATGTACCTATATAAGAAAGAGAGAGAGAAACATACTATTGATATACATTAACAACGGTAGCAGCAACATTGTCCAGTACCGTTGTATACATACATCATGCCAATCTATGACCGTTAATGTCTTGTTCTTAACTGCTCATTGATTAAGATTTGTTGTTGATTCAGTTGAATGAAATACAATGTAGATATAAATATAATCAGGTAGACTTATATCTTATTTTTTAGCCAAAGGGATAGAATAGAAGTATGTATATGAAAAGGTTATCGATTATCGATAGACTAGGCTAAGACTCCAATTTTGGATCTTATGGGAGTAAGACGAAGAAAAAGAAGAAGAAGGAAAAGAGCAATAACGAAGAGTAAAAAAGAAAATATCGATGTTATTTGCATTTCTCTTGCTGCCATTGTCAGTTATAAGTGCAAATAGATCCACATGCTTTGGTTTTAGGTGGTTTTTTTTGTGTATGATCTAGATAGTGAAGTTATGATAAAATAAAATAAAAAAAGGCTCACTTATAAAAGAGAAGTTGCAGTTCGAGGCTTTCTTTTTTTTCTTTTTTTTTTTTGTACTTGTCTCTTATCGCCCATCTATCTTTTCGATTTCGGTTTTTTTTTTTTTGTTCGTTCTTTTTCACATGCAGAACAAAAAGAAAATCTTCTATGCCTACTTACATGTACATGAAATTGACACCTGAATACAACTCTATTCTTCAATTTTAACAGACGAATAAAAAGAAAAAAGGTAAGCAAGGATGTACGATACAAAATAAAAAGTAAAAGAAAACCAGTATGTTTTATTCATTGTGACTTATTTTTAAAATTACCGATATATGTACAAATAGATTTTATGATTATTATTTTTCTTGAAATAATATAAAATTTTTTGATTAAGTAATAAGATGATAATGAAATAAAAACTTTCTTTCTTTCTTTCTTTTTTCTTCTTCTTATATGCTTAAGTTCTAGTCAAAAGGAAACCTTTGTTATTTCTTTGATTATCACATCTTCTCGTACTTGAATATAAGATTGATATTTATTAAATTTTGATTTTATTTCATCTAGAAAAAATTATCAACAACTAATTCAAGTTTTTCTATTGGACAAAATCCAAACGAAAATCCAGAAAGTAATCTATCTCGTACAACATCACATCAACAACATCATCATCAATCGAACGATAAAGTTAATAATCCACATACAGTTATTTATCGTGATAATTCACGTCGTTATTCAAATCCATTTTTTACTTCAGCACGTCTTAGTGGAGTTCGTACATCAGTTGCTGCTATACCAGCATTAAATACATCTCAAAGAAAACAATCTACACATTTAAGTCATTCTATTGATCGTTTACATAATAAACCACAACGTCGAGAATTACGTTATGAAGAACATGATGATTACATTCCACCACCACTTCATTCAATTCAATGTCATCCAACAATAGATCATTATAAAAAAAGTTTAAATCAATCAACATATTTCTCATCAAATCATCGTCGTAGTCAGATAGAAACATATCAATTATCATCATTAAATAATCGTTTAATATTACGAAGACCTTATTCATCTAATATACCTATATCACATAGTATTTCAATCATGTCGAAAACTTCATCTGATCATGCATATGGAAAATTATCAGAATGTCATACACCATTAGTTCCATTAGAAAATTCATCTATTAAAGCTCCACGTCGTATTGAATCAGCATATAGTCAATTTCCCACACAACAAGAACCAATCTATGCTAATACTCAATCACTTTATGATAATATACTTTTTCCACAATCAATATCAAATGTATCAAATAAAACTTATGAACAAGAAAAAAAATCTTGTGCATCACAAACACAATTAACATGGACAATGGCAACATTTTCATCATTTGTTGATTTAGAAAATCAATCAATTATTATTCCACAACCAGATCCAAATACACTTTATTCAATTGTACAACATCATCATTCACCATTATCACCATCAGTATCACCAGAAACTATTCAACAAACGAAAAGAATGTCACCAGGAGTAAGTTATTAAAAGATTATTTTCATATATATCTTATTTCAATATGAAATAATATCTGATTCTTTTTTTTCTTTCCTCGATATCTAAAATTCTACATATTTTCTCAAATTAAATAATTCTTTTCTTATCTTTAGTTACAATATATTGATGATACAAATTCAACATCATATTATCAACGACCACGTAGTCCAATATCATCAAATGTAATAAAAGAAAAACGTGATGGTTCTATTCAAACTCTTCTTACAATAGCACCAACACAGGATTTAGAATTAAATAAACAATTATTTATTCACGATCCTACTCCATCACCAAATTCAACCGGTTCATTAGGAACAACTGGTCAACAACAACATCATCACCATCATCATCATCGAAGACATAAATCGCGTAGTAATACAAGTACGAATAATATCAGTACACGTGATGTTGGTCTTCAAGTAAATATTCAAACAGTGAAAAAAATAACATTTTCATCACAAAAAAGTGATGAATCATCAATAACAACGGGTGCATCATTACCAATAATAACAAAAACTCTTCCAGAATTCAAAAATGTTGAAACAAATACTGAACCATTAATAACAAAACGTGATAAAAGTACATTATATGAACCAAATATTCATTTAGTAACATCATCATCTCAAACATCAGATGTTCCAATAGTATCAAATATAAATCGTCAAACAAAAGCTGCTCAAACATTAAATAAAACATTACGTGATCAATCAATTGAAACAAATAATCGTGGTTTATTTGTTTGTGATCTTAGTTCATTATTAACAAATGGTATAGATGAATCATCATCAACAAATTCAACTTCATTAAATACAAAACAAAAATCATAATTATAATACATTTGCACTCTTATCACAAAATATTCTTTTGTGTGTGTGTGCGTGCCTGCGTGTATTTTCTTTTTTTTTTTTATTTTGTATTTTTTTTTGCGCTTTGTTTTTTTCAAGAGAAAGAAAGGCTTTATATAAATATAAACTCTGTATGCGGAAGTAGAATGCAGCAGAACTTACTTGAACTTCAAATATTATTTCAAATGATTGAGTACTTAATGTAAAACGTAAATGATTAGCAGATTTAGGTCTCATACGCCATGATTGAAATGGCATATGAGCATGACGATCATTTAATAAAGCATATGTACCAAAATCATATGTTCTAAATGAAATTATTCGAGTATCTAAATGAAAAATTTTGTTTTTTTTTTTCGTTTGTTGTATAGAAATAAATTAGATATGCATATGTATTGTTTTTTTTTTCTTTTACCAGGTAAATATTGATAATCGACATAACCTTCTTGTCTCCAATGATTTCGATCTTGAATCCATCGAGCAAGTAATGGTTTTTCAGTAACAAGTACATCATTTGGAATTCTAAATAGAAAGACAATTTGTTTTTTTCTTTATCATTCTGAATGAAGATTTTCGAAAACATAAAGAATTTTTGTATTACTTAAATATTTATATAGGAATAGAAAAAATATTTGAATTAAATTTATCTTGTGTAAAAAAAAAAAAAAAGAAATTTACATGACACCAAAAATAGCGAATAATTGATAAGAGTACATTCTCAAGTGATACTTCAGTTTTCTTCTTTTGATCTCATTTAACCATAAGTAATTTTCAAAGATTATATGTACTTATTGAAATTTTAATGAAATAAGATATTTGAAATCGATTAGAGTAAAGAGGAAAAGAAAATTTTGATGTTTAAAACAATGACATTATATAGTCGAATAAGTTTAAAGTGTTTTTGTTATTTTTAAAGAGAGTGTATCATACTTATATGTAAGTGTAAGTGGTGATTCTTGTTTAATTGCCGCATCTAAGAACATTTTTCGTATTTCGGGATTATTTTCAATCATAGTTGCATCAAGTGTCATAGATAGATCAGCTGTTTCTTCAGTCTGGCACAAAAAAAACGAATGTTTTGAACATGATTTTTAAAACAAAAAGAAGAAAAAAAAAATATCATCATTTTGTTTTACTTTTTCTTCTGTTTTGCCTTTTCCTGTATCGATTTCAGGTGTTTTATGTTTATTACTTGAAGAATGATCTTCATAAAATCGTTCAGCAATCATTGGATCAGATGGATATGGATGAGTAACAAGAATATTATGATTATCAACTATAGATTAATAAAGAAAGTTATAAGAAGAAAATAAAACAAATGATAAAAATTATCAATAAACCTTCCATTATTGTCCATTCTTGTACTTTTTTTGGTTGTGGTGGAATATTATAAAGATTTACTTGAAGTAATGGTAATATAGGCCAATGCGAACGAAGATCAACAACAGATTCATCAGCTAATTGTTCTAAGATTTGATCAGCAGTTACTAGAAAAAAAAACAAATATAGTCATTGAATATATTTGTGCTTAAGACTTTTATATTGAAATTAAGTTTATCTTAATCTTAGGTTTTGAAGGATCAGTTAGCATCTCTAATTTCGTAATTAACGAAATTTTTTCTCTTTGTCATATTTCAAATTTCAAAAATTGAAATAATAGTAAACAAATATCATCAACTGCCGTCGTACGATCAATATTCACAGGACATGATAATCATATGTTAAATCTTCCTATTCATGATATTTCTTTTGATCTTGACGGATGAAAAAAAAAGAATACTAGCTATGGTTATCTAAACTAGATTTCTTTTATATAAAGAATCTATTCGATAAAACTCAATTACTATCATATAAATTAATAGCATAATCAAATGACAGGTGAAGAGACATCAAACTCAACTACAATACTATGGAGGCTCCTACTGAGTTGTGATCAGAGAAGTTTTCACTACTTTGATAGATATTACAAAGAGACTGAGCATCTTCTAATCTGCTTTTCTTTTATGTCACTAGCATCAACGAACACTGAACATTCTTGATTTAGTAGTATAACGAAAGGGTTTCATGAAGGAAGTCCTTCAACCGATTAATTGCTTTTGAGTTGAAACAATGTGCATCTTGTAGAGTCTAATGAGCTGTGAATATCTTGAAAAAAAGAGTTTGTGTTGTTAGCTTATTGCTGCATTTTTACGGTAACTTTCAAATCGAAGCTGTGTTACTGACGGACAGCACAGCTTCGATTTGAAAGCTACCGTAAAAATGTGATATCTCGCAAGCAAAAGGCGAACAGTACAAACTTTTTTTCAGGATACTTAGAATTCATTAGGCTCTACAACATACACATTATCTCGACTCAAAAGTAATTAGTCAATCGAAGGACTTTCTTTGTTGTTTCTCTTTAATTCATTGTAATACTACAACGAATGTAATTACGATTTTCTCTTAAAACTTTTATAGTGCTACCATGATCGAATATATTCTTGACTGTAAAAATTTTTTTTCTAAATCTTAAATGATAGTAATTTTATTATACCATTTAATAATTTATCATTTGATTTTGTTCTATCTAATGAAGTTTGAGTTAAATTTTTTCCATCTTGTATTTCTTCTGAAGCTATTTGTGTATTAGATCGATCAGTCATTATATTTTCTTTATTAGCTTGAGCTTCAGCAGCCGCAGCCGCTGCTGCTGCAGCTGCAGCTGCTTCTTCACGTTGTTTTGTTTCTTCCATTAATCTTCTTAATTCCGGTGGCAATGAAGCATCAAATTGATCTTTAGCTGAATCTTCATTTTCTGTTGTTTGTTTTTCTGTTTCATCAACATATGGTTCAGGTACTGGATCTAATACAAAAAAAAAATCAGGAAAAAATAACAATAAATAAAAAAAAAATTAAATTTCAAACAAATAATATACCATAAGTATATTGATTTGTTTGTACACGACATTTTGATAGTAGTGAACGTTCAGAATAATAATCATATTTAAGAAAAAATCCAACTATAGCTATATTAGCTAATGATAATGGTTTTGGTAAAACAAAACCAAACTGATATTTATCAAATTCATAACCTTTTGTTCTAGAAAACACAAACAAAAAAGATTATTTAAATTAATACAGAAAAAAAAAATATTAAACTAAATACCTTGGATTATGACTAAGATTAGCCCAAATACAAACCGTAACATTTTCATTTTCAGCTACATATTGAAAATTATTTGTTTCTAAATCTTGTAAATCACTTGCTTTAAGCATTATAAAATGAGTTGTTTGAAGCCATTTTAAATGTAATGTATCTTCAAGTTTATGAATTGTCTATATAAAAAACAAAAAATTAAAAGAAATTATTTATTTATTTTCATATAAACCTGTTTATAAATTGGAATAGATTGAAGTTCTGATGAACCATTTGGAATTGAATTAATAACATAATTTAATTCTTTAATAAGAGATGAAACAAGATTTGTTTGTTTCATTGTATTTTCAACATCAATTCGTTGGTGTTCATCATGCCATAAAGATATAAATGTATTTATTTCAGGTAAAATTGTTGGATCAGGTGTACCATCACATTGCATAATACGTTTCCACTTAGAAACAAAAAATAGATGAAAATTTTATTTTTATAAAATTCATTTTACTTTATATTCTTCTCGTTGTTTTTCTCGTATTTCAATTGCTTGTTGTTGTCGTGGTTGAATAAATTCATAAAATTCACTTAATTCTCGACGTCGTAAATCATTGATCTAAATTATTTATTATTTTAAAGAAGAAAACATATTAGATTATTATACTTCTTTAGCTATATTTGATTTTTCTTGAGCAGCACGGTTTTCATTTTCAAGACGTTCTTTTTCAGCAAGTTCAGCACGTTGTTGAGCTTCCTCTATAATATAAAAATAAATAATGAAATAAAATTGGCAGTGTGGCCGAGTGGTCTAAGGCGCTGGTTTTAGGCACCAGTCGTAAAAGGCGTGGGTTCGAATCCCACCGCTGTCAGTATATAATCAAGCAAGATAGCTTGCTTCTCTTTTTCTTTCCTTTTCTATTTCGGATTGTTTTTCTTCTTTTTGTGTGAGATGATAATAGAAGGACGTTTTCGGAGGAACAGTATTAAAGTGTTTATTCTCTTAAAAGCGGTATGTTATTTTTTCTCGAATGCTTTCATACCGATGAAAGCTTAGATTCATGATATATACAATAGATGTGCACGTCTATTTATTATTAGATTTTTCAGGTTTTTATATATTGTTTGGTACAGAAACACAGGTAATGTTAAAACAAAAAAATGAAAATTCTGAAAAAAAAATAAATTAGAAAACATGTTCAATCATTTTTTTAGTCTAATTAAGGAGCCTGTAGAAAAATGAAAACATTGAGTTCGAATTAAACCTTCGTTGTTCTTTCTGAATATAGGTTCAAAATCTTTTGTAGCACTTTTGGTTTAGAAGTTATAAGCTAACCATTTCGAAGCACGCAAATTAAGTTTAAACAGAGAAAATTGGCGCTTTTTTTACTGCTGCAATAATCTTCTTTACTGCATACGGTATATTACAGATTTTTTTGCATAGAATTAAAGGAAAAATTGTTCTCTACAAAATGATGTAAGAATCAAGAATTTCAGGAATATCTGAATTTACTTTGCAAATGTATTTTTCATAAAAATCTAGAAAATTGTCTAAATTGACATCGTACCCCTTATCAAAACATTTGCTATTAACAAATGACTTAAAGTTAACTAATCATCAATATACCATTTCATTGAGAAAAATTTTCGTTTCTAATTTAAGTAATTTTTAGTACGCTAAAGTTCATCTAAACTGAATTTACAAGCCTCTAAAAGATCGACTCATAAATTGCGATTCTAATCCAATGTTTTCAAATTTCGGCATATTGCTTAAAAATGAATGAACATTTTGTCTAATTACTCTTCGATCATCCGTTATAACAAAATGATTCTCATCGTTAGTAAGTAAATTGATTCATAACTGCTGTTTCTTTTTAAACTAAATGAAACTAACTCACTGATAGTTTTGAATGTTGTAAATAACATTCAATAATCTATACTCACAGTATGTGCTATACTTTACAAAATGCGGAAAAAAAAACTTTGATCTATTATAGCACGTGTTAGATCAAAATGAAGACCAGATTTATAAACATTGATATAGACGATTGGTCTTTTTTTTAACGAGAAAATTGATTTATCAATTTTTCTCCTAGCAGTACTTTTTGTGCAATCTTACTACTGTCCATTTCAAAATATAATGCGCTCCAATATTTTTTGAATAACTCGAAAATATCAACAGCTAGAGATCTGCAGGTTTCACCAATCGAAAGAAGAGATAGGGAAACGTTTTTCTTTCGAATATCGTATAAGATGAAATCATTTTAAAATCAGTCATTTCTGCAAAACATGAAAAAAATGTATAAAAACGGTCGGTCGTTCAGATGAAATTTTCACAAAAAGTAGCAAAATTTACTTAAACAGTAAAAGAAATCCATAGTTTCCGTACGAATAAATCGACGATTTTATATGTTCAACATTAGGATGTGAGACCATAATCATTCGAATTATATCTTGAACTATAGATGTGAAGTCCCTCTATCTAGATCAGATGCCACAATCAAAATTTTATCGAAATGACTGATTTTAAAATAATTTCATCTTATACAATATTGAAGGGATAGACATCCTCCTGTCTCCTCTTTCGATCAGTGAAAATCGCAGATGTCTAGTTGTTGGCGTTCTTGAATTATTCAAAAAACTTTGAAGAGAATTATATTTTGAAATGGACAATAATAAAACATCAAAAATATTTCCAGAAATAATTGAGAAACTTTTCTAAACTTGATATTATTTAATAATTTTATAAGAATCAAATTCTAGAAAACTAAACTTCTAGCATAGAATAAATTTAGACATCTATAGTATGAATTGTGAATTTTAGCTTTCATCAGAATGAAAACTTATGTGACACTTTTTCATTTTTGAGAAATTTCACACTTTTTTTTTTTGTTTCGCGAAAATTTTTATCTATTACATAAAATGAAAATTATATGTTTGACTCGTTGCGACACGTTGAAATCGTTTTAGATAATTCATTTTATTTTTGCTTCGTTGACAAGAAACATCGAGAGCAGTACGTCTACAATTATTAAATATTGTTTATATCAATACATCGAAGACAGGTTTGTTTTTTTATATAAAATTTTCTCGTACTCAGGTGAGTGATATACGGCTGAATCCGTTAAGAAATTTTCAAACAATGATAGGTCCTTGAAAGTAGGAAACCGATCATTGGATTTTTGCTCTTTAGTTTCTATTATTTTCCGGTCGGAAACAATGTATTTTCATTGGGATCTTGCTCTAAATCAACAGAATCATTGACCTACAGATTGTAAATATGAGTTTAATAATGTCCAACGATTGTGGTCATTAGAAGAAGAAAAAAACAATATTGTTTTTTGGCATCGTTTTTGCATAATTTATTTATTCTATTAATATTTTGCGTCTGATTAAGAAGAACATATATATCTATGCTAAGGTTAAGCGTACGTTGAAATATCCGTCAGTTAAGCTTTTCGGTGACTATAATGCGATTGAGATGAACAGGTTAGAGGAAAACGCTTAAATAATTTTGCACAACTAAAAGTATCATTTTCTATTAAATGTATTCAAATGCAGAAAAGCATAGACTATCGATAGACATGTACTGATAATAAATATTCAGTTTTTTTTCTTTCTTTTTTTTTTTTATCGAAATATTTGAATATACAGATTTGTAAAGCATCATCGATGTTTTATCTTCTTAAAAACAATTTCTTCTACAATTCTGAACTTTTAAGAATATTCTACATACGAAAATATCAAAACAACGGAAGTTTACAATGCATATTTAACTATAAAAATAACATTCATAATTGTATTGTTTCCGTTTTGAGAATGATATACGACTTTCGGGAAAGTTACATTATCTATAAAATGCAAAAGAACTTCATTTATCTATGTCATTCTATAGGCTAAGTATTTCTTAATATGACTATTAGATTACATTCATATTGTTTTTTGTTCAAGTGAAAATAAATCTTACAAAAGATTTTCTTATGTGATAGAATCGAAAGACAATTCACTATGATTATAATAAATTATTACCTTCTTCTTTTTTCTTTCGTTCTTCTTCTTCTTTCTTCTTTTTGGCTTTTGCACTTTTATTACTTGGTGTTGCTGATTTCTAAACAAATTCATAGAATTATTATTTTATTCAGAAAAAAGTCTATTAATCAAAAAACAAAAAGCCAGCAGCAAAAAGTAATACGAAATGATTTCATTGCATACATTAATTTTCTTTTTTCGTTTCGATTTTGTTGTAGTACGTTTTTTATTTGTTTTTATTTTCTTCGATATTATACTATTTGTTGTGGATACATCAAATGAATTAAGACGTGCATGAGTTTCTAAGGATTGATTACTAATCCTATGAATTTTTTTCGACGTTAAGCTCTAAGTTACTTGTTCTTTAGTCATTTTTTCAGCATTTGATTTTTTATTTTTTCTCGTTTTTTGTTTAGTAGAATTTTTTACTTGTGCATTTTTATTAAATATTGAATAATCATTTATTGATAATGTATGAAAAGATTCTAATATTTTCTATTTGAAAAATTATTTTATATTGTAAATAAGAGTGAAATTTTTATTTATTAAATATCTATAAATCTTATACTTACCAAAGCGCTAGACATTGCTGAATTAGTATTTTGAAATTAGAAATGCAATTTTACACGTGTGAATTTTCATTATATAATCTGTTGTCATGTCAATAACCTTTACTAGTGACCTCTTTGTATTTCTATTGGTAGGTATATAAATAAATTGGTTTTCTTTTTTTTGGATGATGACTCATTGTTTGATCAAAGTATTTGTGTTAAGTTAGTATATGTAATAGTAGACAGACATTCAATGCGCTTTAGATAACAACAAATAAATTTAATTTCTTATTTTATCAAAGCTGGCATCGATTATTTGAATTACGAAACGAAACGAAAAGAGATCATTAATTACAAATAGAAAAAAAACGATGGGGAATATGTTCGGTTCAATATTTGGAAAGAAACATTATCGAATATTAATGCTTGGTCTTGGTAGAATTTCTATAGAAAATGAATAAAATTTAATACAATTATTATATTATTTAGATAATGCTGGAAAAACATCAATTCTTTATCGTCTTCGTTTAAAAGAATCGATTACAACAATACCAACTGTTGGATTTAATGTTGAAACTGTTTTATTGGGACATGTAAAATTTAATGTGTGGGATGTCGGCGGACAAGTATGTAAACAAGAGAAAGATTACTTTATATATTTTTGATAGATAGACAAGTAATAAATTCTTTTTTTTTTGACAAAAATTTCATTAACATTTATCTATTGATTACTAAAGTTCATGTTGACCGTACATCTACTTCATATGCATGGTACATATGTATGCCATACTTACAGTACGGAAGAAGTATTTTCTCATACTTCCTATGCATTAATATACTAAAGATAAATATTAATGTGCCATGAAACGCTTTTAAGTGAAGCGGAAATTTTGAAAATGAATCATTGAAATAATATACATTCAGTTCCTTTTAGTTTTTATCAAGCAAAAAACAAATATTTCTATTCAATAGTTATGATTTATACCATGATTAATGCATAGATAGTTTCCGGCTATTTGTTTAGCTGAAATATTAGTTACTAAATGCTAAACCTCATAAAATCAAGATTGAATTGACGTCATTCAAGCGCTAGTTTAAGTAAAAGCTTGTGATCTATTAGCATTACATTAAAGAACGATGAGTGAATTGCAAAGATTTTAGTCCATATATCGTTGTTATCTCCAATCAATATAAAATTCTAATAATAGATTCTTTATTTTTTCTATAGGATAAAATTCGTCCATTATGGCGACATTATTATACGGGTTCTCAAGGACTTATATTTGTTGTTGATTCATGTGATCGTGAACGTATGGAAGAAGCAAGTCGTGAATTAGAAAAAATAATTAATGATCGTGAAATGCGTAATACTGTTCTTGTTATATTTTGTAATAAACAAGATATGCCTGGATGTATGCAACCAACTGAAATACGACAAGCATTGCATTTAGATAAATTAAATCGTCCATATGCTATAATGCCATGTTCAGCTTTACATGGAACGGGTTTATCCGAAGGTCTCAAATGGCTATCTGAGCATTGTAAATAAATATCATAACTTAATTCTGTATTTGTGTGCAGTGATGATAATGATGATCTAGCGGCAATTTTTCTCTTGTTGTTTGTCTTTTTCTTTTTTTTACACATATATATATATATTCAACTCATTCGTTGTTAATGTGTGCGTGTGTGTGTTTGAAGGGTCAATGTTTTCCTTTTTTTTCTTTTGATAATGAAAAAACGAAGAGACCAAAAAAAAAACAGAACAAAGGAAATAAAAACAAGTTATATGTTAAATGATTTATTTAGAAATAATGCTAAAATCTTCATATCTTATTCGTTATTCATCATTTCAATTTAAACGTTCTTTTCATTTAACAATACCATCATTAACAGCTGGACAAACACAATATCATGGTCAAAAAAATTCAACATGGTGGGACAAATATGATTCACATGTTGATCCTGTTCAAACACGTACAGATTTACTTAATATGGATGATTTAGATGAACGACATTTTCGTCCTGTTAAACCTGTTATACCAACATATCAATCATTTTCTTGTTTTCATGATCCAATTATATCTCGTGTTATTGGAATTTTATTACGTGAAGGAAATCGTGAATTAGTTGAAGAATTAATACATAAAACATTTCGTACAATGAAGTTAATACAAATAGGAAAATATAATCGAGCGAAAACAAAAGAAGAACGTGATTCAATTGAATGTAATCCAGTTACTTTACTTAAACAAGCAATTAAAAATGCAACACCTATTGTTCGTATGTAAATTAAATAACAAAAAAATAAATTGTTTTTTTTTTTTTTGAAATATTCATTTATTTATTTTATATTATATTTCTAGGTCTTACACGAATAGCTAAAGGTGGTACTTTATATTCTGTACCAATACCAATATCACCAATACGTGCTACTTTTACAGCTATTCGTTTATTAATTGATAGTACACATGATGCACGACCACATGATCAAAGATTTTGGACGTTATTTGCAAAAGAAATAATGGATGCAGCACAAAATCAAGGACGAACAATAAAGAAAAAACAAGAAATACATCGAAATGCTGAACTAAATCGTGCATATGCACATTTTAAATGGCAAAAATAAACTTATTTGTTTCTGTTTTTTGTTTAATAAGAATAAAAACGAGTCGAATGCCTTGATTTTTCATTTACTCATTAACCTCATATTAAAAAAAAGAAAGTACAACGAAAATTGTTTTTCTACGATGTGATTACGTCTATTTATGCGTATGTCATTTTTTACTAATTTAAAAAAGAACGAAACAGCGTGATTGACTACGGTTGTTGTAATTGACGTCGTTTGTTCAGCATATAAAAACAGTTGTCATCATAGTGTCAATCAAATATTTTACATATTATTTATCAAACGTTTATATTAAGCAAAAACTGCAAGTAAGTTCGAGTTTTTTTCTTTTTACAGAAAATTTTATACTCTTCTTTGAAAATTTTTCTTTTGAAGGTATGAGCAATTTTTTTACTAAATTATTAGGAAAGGATGATGATTCAACAAATCATTCTCATTCACATAAAGGTGATGTAAAATGTGAAAGTGAAACATGTAGTACATCAATAACTGGTGGTGAAAAACATGGTCGTAAAAGTGATTCTACAATAATAAATAATAACATAGATAAACAAGTTATTGAAGGCCGAACAACACAACATGAAGGTGTAAATGTTAAATCAACTGTTTCATCAGATGTTAGTTCAAGCGTAACCATTGCTAATCATCAGCAACTTAATGACCTTATTTCGAAAATAAGTTAGTTATTTGATTTTTATTCTAGAATTCAACAACTGAATTATTCTTTATATTTATATTTTTTTTCCTATAGGTTCAACACATTCAGAAATCAATGATTATGCTAACCGACAAACAGCAAAAATTGATGAAGAAATTCAACGTGAAATCGATCAAGTTGTTGGACGTACACGTCTTCAACAAGAGGACCTTGTTCGAAAAGCTAATGAACAAACGAGTCAAATTGATACTGAACATCGTGCACGATTACAAAAAATGGTTGAAGAAATTGATGCTGATAGAGCAAAACGAATAGCAGAAATTGAAAAAGAATTAAATAAATTACAAGCTTCTATATTACAAGCAGCTAAAAATGATATAGATCTATTAAATAAAAAATCAGCTAATCTTAAAATTGATATTTTACAAGAAGCACAATCGAAAGCAACAACAGCAGCAAATGATATTACCTCTCAGGCATCACATTTAGGTCAAGCATCAACTCTTCATCAATCAACAGGCACAACGGTTATTAAAACAGATGTATCAGCAGTATCACCAGCTTATGAAACTGACAACACACAGACGATTGGAAAATTAGCAGCTAAAGAAACGCATGCATCAGATAGTGGCGCTCAGAGAATCTGAGGAAAGTAAAAGCATTGAAACAAGCAGCCACCAATCACGATAGCAGAAAATGAACTGCGTAATATATGTAAATAATGACGTTTTTTTTGTATTTTAACATATTCAAGCATTGCGAATTTTTTTTTTGATTTTTATTTCAATAAATTTAAGAAAATAATATTTAAAGATTAAATTACAAATTATCTATTCCATTCTGTTAAATATCGAGAATTTCTCTATACATATTAAATTTGGTTCATTATATTTTCTTTAGATATAAGTTGTATTCAATTTTTTGATAGGTAATTAATCTCAAAAAAAAAAAATTTTTTTATGTATTATTTTTAATTCTGTAAAAATCGATGCAATACACATTTGGTTTAATTATTCCTGGTGCTTTAGTCACTGCTATTCTTAATTCAACTCCTATTATTCGTCTTTGTGGTAGTTTACCGGAATTAGGTTCTTGGTCTATAGATAAAGCACCACGACTTAATCTTCTTACTAAAGAATTTTATCGTCCAGTACAATTATTAAATGAGCCACGTTTTTATCGGTTAGATATTAATTTATCAAATGATATTCGTGAATTTGATTATAAATATGTTCTTAATGATGAAATATGGGAAGGAAAAAGAGAAGAATCTCGAGTATGGTTAAGAGATGATTGTAAAAATTTAGTAGATCAAGTTTATTATACACCTATTGATTATTGGATTGATGTTAAAACTGGTGGTAAAAGAAAAACAAAATATATATAGTTATTTTTTTGTTTTCTATGAAATTTTTTTTTCTATTTAGCAACTGATGAAAAAACACATACATCAAATTTTTATAATGAAGTAGTTGCTCATAAAATTATGCATTATGGACGTGTTCATGATAACTTATATGTTGGTAGTTGTCCACGTTTATTGACACATATTGAAAATGATTTAGGTCGAACATTAGGTGTAACAGCTGTGCTTAATTTACAAGTTGTTAGGGATATTGAACGAAATTGTCAAGGAATTCTTGGTGATAGTCATGTACCAGAACCAAATAATGAATTTGATTTAGCAAGTGTTGATATATTAAGAAAAGCATATGAACAAGCAGGCATTTTATTTTTATGGGTACCAATTACAGATTTATCATCAACTGGAAGAGAATTAATGTCACCACAAGCAACATTAGTATTGAAAACAATATTAGACAAAGGACATAAAGTATATGTTCACTGTAATGCTGGTAAGTTTAAAAAGATTTGACCTTTATTCAAGGTTAAATAAACAATAGTTTTGTAAATTTATATTTGCAAAAAGAATTAATTACAGCAAAAAAAAAAAAATAATTTCTTTTCAATTTTAGGTGTTGGTCGAGCATTTGGTGTTGTTTGTGCTTATCATCATTTTGTTTTGAATATTCCATTACCTAAAGTTCAATATGATTTAGCTCCAACACGTTCATGTGGTTTTTTTGATCGTGTATTTCTTGAAAATGCACAAAAAATATACAAAAAAGCATTCGATTAAACAAAAGAATATTTAATCAAGCGACAAAAAGAAAAAGAACTAGTTATATTATTGTTTATTTCAGCATGTAGTTTCATTTATCTATTTTCTTTATATAATTTGTTCGTGTATGTTCTTGTTTTTCAATTGGTTGAAATTGAAAATCAAAATCACGTTGTGGTAGTATAGTTGTTGATGTTAAATCTTGTAATGATTGGGAACGATATTGTTGAAAGGGTGAATTTTGACTATGTTTTAATTCTACACCATGTTTCATACACATTTCATCAACTAATTGATTAAATTCATGTGTTTGTGGTGTTGTTGGAGTTTTATAAACAACAATTTTTTTATTTGGATGAGAATGTTTAACATGTGCAAATACAGATGATAATTCATCTGGATTCATTAAACATTCTTTGGTACCTTCAACACGATAGATAACTGTTGGCTGTTGTTGTTGTTGTTGCTGTTGTTGTTGTTGTTGTTCGAGACTTTGTTTCGTTCGATGTGAACGACGAGATGGTTTTAGTTCAGTTACAGGTATTGATAAATTACGATTAGTTATTGGAGTTTGATTTTGACGAGAATGTGATGAAATTTTTTTAGTTAATGGACTGCTATTATGTAGCGGCTTACTATTTGAATTTGTATTATATGTTTGATAAGGAGGTGGAGGAAGTATATCATTAGAATAACCGTTTATACTAAAATTAAAATAGACAAATTGACTAATTATCTTAAGAATTTTTTTAAAATAATTAAAATTTACTGTTCATCTATACAATAATTTTGATATTGTAATTGTTCATTATTATTTTTATTTGTTGATAAATTAAGTAATAATTTTAATAATAAATCTCGTTCTTGTCTCATTTCATTAATTGTTTCAGTTAAAATAGATTCATTTAATTTTGCTTTTAAATATTCATTTTCACGCCATAATACATCACGTTCATCAGCCAATCGGTTAATCATTGAAACAAGTTGTTCATTATCGAATTGTTTTTCATGACTATTATCGATTGTTTTTATTGGAATATTTTTAAACATCGTTAATTTAAAAGAAGAAAAAAAAGAAAAGAAAGAATTCCTATTTAATATTATATATATATATATATATATGTCTATTTTGTAATTGTTTTGATATTCGATGTTGGTATTGATTAACAAGTCGAAGAGCAAGACAGACTATACAATTACCATCGTATTCTTAGCCTCTCTACGTGATCTAAAGAGCAAAGTAATTTCAATGGTTGGTTTCGCCTTTTCTCTTGTCTCATTTTGCAACACTTGAATAATATTACGCGAAAGAATCGAGAGAAGCAACATATGCTTCTCTTCGTTTTTTGTTATTGACTCTTGTTCGTTTTCTCCTCTTCATTCTCTCTTCTCTTCATTTGCAATACTTGTTCGTTGTCGTTTAGTGTTTGTAAATATCAACGATCGAACTAGTAATGTTACCTTGACGCGAATGATGCCATATGAAAGAGTAAGTGAAAGAAAGAGTTAAAAAAGAAATTTTTTTTTTATTGATGTTTTTGGTGGTTAGAATATGTAAAATGAAGTTTTTATTAAAGAAATGAATATGTCATTGAAATTAATCTATATAGAATCGAATTTTGCAAATTTATTTCTTAGAAATAAAATTTTAGAATAAATTTTCATTTGTTCGAAAATAATTTACATATGTAAGAACCCAAAAGAAGACAAGATTGAAATCAAAGGTCATATCAACTATATGGATACTACTTCTCAAATGTCTATTAATATATCAACTAAATTTCATTTAAATTCAATTAGATACAAGACATTTATATTTTTTCAATTGATATTGTATTGAATTTAACATGTCGAAATTACAAAATAATAATTTGAACAAGAATTTTTCTTATCAATGAGTTCAAATATGTATCTTTTAAAATTTACAAGATATCTGCCCACATATGTATTCTTAGACAACATAATTTAAGTGAAATTAAAATTTATTTTGTTTTTTTTTCTGTTCTATTGTTATGTTTTATTTTTTCTTTCTTTCTTTTCAATTGATTGTTTATTTATTGAAATTTCATTAATCCTCTTTTACATTGTTATTTTTGTACGATGACATTTTAACGTACTACTCTCTTCAATAAAAATGAGAAATTGTTGCATACAAGAAATATTGTTACTGAACTGTGGCAAAAAAAAACAGATTTTTTTATCCTTTCATTTTTATTTTTGAATCAAAATTTCACCTTGAAAAATTTAACCATGTAGCTTATCAGTCATTTCTAATAAAACTTTTAAAAATTTTCCCTATCAAAAAAAAGACTAAATTTTATCATCTATTCGAATTAAAAAAAACTATTAGAAGTTCTTATATTTATACATTTAAATTAATTAAGTAATAAGAAAAATTATTAAAAATACATCAGATAAAATATTAATTTATATGAAACGATTATTAGACAAATTTGAATTTATCGTTTATTATCATCGGTCTTTGTTTATAGTCATATGATGTAACAATTTTAAAAACAAATAATCAACTAACTGACTATTGCATATTTAAATCTTTTGACAAATGAATAATCGATCGAATAACTACTGTAAATATTAATTTTCTTTCTTGAATGTATAAATAACAAGATTTTATTGAATTTTATTTTTGTGACTCGTCAATTATTTAGAAAATTTCCGTTAGTTTTATTTATTAATTATTGAAGAAAAGCTCTGGCATATGTAGCTATCAATCCAGCTGCAAGACCACTTTCATGTGATAAACATCCATGAGCCATACCTTGTTCAACTAATAGATGTCTTTTAATTTTTAAATTTGTTTCAATTGTATCTAATGTACTACTATAACATCCATATTCTGAATTTTGCCATGAAAGAATTGTATTAAACCAATCCAAACGTAAAAATTCTTCATAACCAATAATTGAACATAATAATAATTCTTCAAGAAATAAATCTTGATTATTATCATCTTTAATATTTAATTCAGCATCTTGATAAATATTTGAACAATATCGATCTTCTAAATATTTTAAATTTTTATTTGCAATATTTGATACTGATCGATGATCAATACAATCAATATTTTTTGCAACTAAAAACCATAATAATTGATGTGTTAAACGATAATTTTTTGTCTTTGATGATGTCATCATATCCCAACATGATTGAGTTATAAAACATTTTGTTGAATTAGGACGATCACTTGAACCAAGTAATTCAGCAAAACAAGAATCAGATACTTCTTCATCAAAATCTGATTCTCTTAAACCAGATTCAAATAAATTTTTCTTTATTGTTCTTAATTCATATTCAACTCGAAATGGTTTTGATGCAATAAGAATAAATCGTTGTAAATATGAAGATGTTGTATTAGCTATAATAGTTAAACTTTTATTTGCTATATGTTCAATTTGTTTAGATAATGAAAGAATATATTTATTTTTATCTGTAAAATGATGATTTTCATTTTCATTTGATGTTGAAGTTAAAATTTCATGAAGAGCATCTAATTGTCCTTGTGCTATACGTAAACCATATAAACCATCAAGATTTAAATCATTTACATCAGATTCAAAAAAACTTAAAAGACGATCTAAAGCATTCAATGCTTGACCACCATATTTAATATGTAATTCATGTGAAGGAAGATTTAAACTTATTACAATACGAATAGAAGGACAGGCTATGAAGAAAATAAACAATTGAATAAACATCTAAAAATAAGTATACAGTTAGATTTGTTTTTATAAATAGTACAGACAACAAAAAAAACCTTATTTATTTGCATAGAATGGCAAAATGCCAAAACAATCAATATAAGCCAGTTAGAAATATGATATCAAGACAGCTGATAAATACGAATAAGTATTGGTTACTTGTAAGAAAAGAGGTTATATGTACTATGTCTCTGTATGTAAATGACTGCATCGTTCTTTCTTTTCTTCATATCATTGTGGAAAGCATCGGAAGAATGAAAAAGAAAAGAGAAGAGAATAAGTTGATGTAGGAAGGGTAAACCTTATGTTTGGTAGCATGTTTAATCATCTTATCTTTTCCATTATTAGAAACAATATTGAAGAAAAAAAAAACAGAAAGGAACAAAAAAAAACAGAAATCATTCATTAGGTTTCAATATGAAATTACTTATAGAAATTGATTATTTTTTTTCGATGAATATTTTCGCTTTTTTTTTGTAGTTATAATCAATGGTAATAACATACTGAAATCCTGAAAAATTTTTTGTTCTACGCATGTGCATTATTTCTTTATACAAAAAGATCACAATATGGAATTAAGAAAATCTTTGTTATTTTCGGAACTCATTAAGAGAAGTTTTTTGGTGTTTATTAATCCATCTTAAAATCAATCATTATTTTTCAACTCATGATTGTTTTTTTTTAATTAGTGAAATATGCAAAATATGTCGATGAAATAGAATACAATTGTCTTATTAGCAAAGCGCCAAAGTTTACAAAATCATACGTAATAAAGATGTATTGTCTTTTTCATATTAGAATTTATTACAGAAAAATGATGATTGAGACTTTTATTTGAAAACTTACAATATTCGTTACATCGATGACGAGAGCTCTCGATAATGCCCCAAAGATGCATCGAAATTATCTCCATATTCAATAAGAAACTTTGACAACAATTATTAAACGTTTGAATTTCATAGAAATTCTACGCAATAATTTTTTGATATATCTTAGTAAGATACCGGCTATTTCGAAATATGAGCAACATATTTTACGTGCTTTCTTATCATTATTGGATAGAACTCCTCGAGTTACCTCTGAAAGATGTTTTTATAGTGAAACTTACGGTTTAAAAAATGAGGAAAGTCTATAAAAATTGAAATGCGCCAAAAGCACTCAGTCTCGGTAGCTTTGTTATTTATCTGAAATTCATTTTTGATTCTATTCTTTATATAGTTATGGAAAAGATTACGCATCATTTTTGCAAAAATATTGCTTCATTGTTGAAAGAATCGATTTTTTTCGATATGATAGTAA